CTCCCCCTCCTCCTCCTCCTCCTCCTCCATAGGGTCTTGCTATGTTGCCCAGGCTGGCCTTGAACTCCTAGACTCAAATGTTCCTCCTGCTTCAGTCTCCAAGCAGCTGGGATGAAAGGCATGTGCTATCACACCCATCTACTAATAGTACTTTTCAACTCACACAGGGCCAGGTCACTAATTGGCTAGCTACTACTGTGTGTCATGTTGAAGACCTGAATGTTTTTAAAAACTTTTTATTGAATCCCAGCACTCTGGGAGGCTGACGCAGAAGGATGGCAGGTTCAAGCCCAGCCTAAGCAACTTAGTGACTTAGTAACACCTTGTCTCAAAATAAACAACTGTACAAAGGGCTGGGGAGGTAGCTCTGTCTAAAGACCAGGAGTTCGATCACCAGTACCACTTCCTGAAAAAAACCTTCTATTAAGAATTCAAACAACTTAAAAGATACATAATATAAATCACCTTGGCCTCTAAATCTAATTGATGAGTAGAGTTAACAATATAGTGTGTTTCCTGATTTTTCCTCCTATACTTACACAAGGATTAAAAGGTCAAACTTTGAATTTCTTTTCACTGTAAAGGTGGGGCTAAGCCAACACTACCCACTTTTGGAAGAGACAGACTTGTTAGCAACCTAATATAGCAATTGTTTTAGAATATTCTTTAGTCTTCCTGAGTGTGATAACAGTAACGTAAATGTAGTTTTAACATTTGCTACTTAAAAATAGCTGCATCAGGGCTGGGGATTTAGCTCAGTGGTGCTGCCACCTGCCTGGCAAACGCAAGGTCCTGAGTTCAATCCCCGGTACCAAAAAAAAAAAAAAAAAATAGCTGCATCACCCAATAATTATATAGTCATTTCAGAAACATACAATTATTGGGTCATAGAGCATAAACACTTATTTACATAGTCAAATTCCTATTGAGAAAAAGATTAATTTATGATGACATTATCTTCTAAAACACTTCCCAGTATATATTTACTACAATATTGCTTACATTTTGATTTAGCGTTTTTAAAAGTTTTAGGAATATAAACTTCACCCATGAGATAGTAATCCTGTTTTAAGATCACATTAAGATGAATTAGTCATCTTTGAAAACAGAATTGTCCCATACCAGTCTTTACAGCTTTTGGACCCTGGATGTTTGACTATAAGGTGGCTAAATGAGACCGATAACCCTTTGCCTTCCAATGTGAAAGTCTCCGGAAAAACTCTTTCACCCAATTTAAATGTGTAACTTTTAGGATAGATGTGATTCTTCTAGTAGTTAAGAGGTGAATCCTCTACAAATTGTGAGCCAAAATAAACCTCTCCTCTTTTAACTTATGCCTGTCAGGAATTTTACCCCAGCAAAAAGAAAGTAACTAAGAAATTTTGGTAGTAGGAGTGGGTCATCGGTTGCTGTGACTACCTGAACCTGTGGTTCGGGAGCCTTAGGAACTGGCTTGTGGGAGGAGTTTGGAAAGGTGTGGGAAAGCCAGGGGCAGAAGAAGCATCGCGCAGTCCTGTGAGCCAAGCTTGGTGAGAGATGCTGGTCAGAGCTGAAGGCCAGAATTCGGTAAAAATGCAGATGGAAAAGACCTGGATCAGGAGGTTTCAGTTGGGAAGGACTCCCTTGGCAGCTGGACTCGAGATCACATATGTTATTCTCTGGCAAAAAATTTGTCCACATTTTCTCCCGAGACTGCAGGAGACTGAGATTAAGGGCAGTGAACTAATCAGTTTAGTGAAGAAAATTTCAAGGCAGCCTAATATTTGGGTAGCAGCATGGCTTCTTTGGGAGGCTCGTACAGTTAAGAGCAAACAACCCAGGAGCCAGGGATTTAGCTCAGTGGTGCCTGCCTCGAGCCTGCCTTGAAAGGCCTGAGTTCCATCTCAGATACTGAAAAAAAAAAGAAGGAAAGAAAAGAAAAAGAAAAAAAAATGTGAGTGTCAAGAGCAAACAGCCCAGTTGAATGAGTTAAAAACTTTTGAATTTGGCCAGAAAAGGAAGCTCTGGTAAATCTGTGGTCTGCAAAATTGAAACAGAGGAGAGCTTGGTTTGCTAAAAAGATTAGCATTAAACAGAAGTCAAATACTTCAGATCTGGCTGATACAAAGGATGCCTCCAGGGCATGGGAGGAATCAGAAAGACCCCACACTTCCCAGGCTCTAGGGTGGAAAACTGAGACTTTGCCTCTGCAAGAGAACCCCAGGGCACTGTGCTCCTGCAGGAGGCAGCCTGGAGAATGGAAACTGATTCCCTAGGATTCAGCTTACCTTGCTCAGCCATCCGGCACGTGCGGAGGCCTCTGCCACCACCAGCAAAATACAAAAGGGCTCGCTGTGCTCAGGCTAGTGGCAGACCTTGACGTCATCCCCATGGTGCTGCTTTTAGGTGCGTGCACAGGGAGAGTTGTGGTGTCACAGGCTTCCACCCAGCTTTCAGAAGGCCCGGGAGGCCAGGCAGTGTGTCCCTGAGAGGGCAGTGTGTGAAGCTGAAGGTGCAGTGGAGACCCCAGAGGGTTGGAGAGGCCAGGAACATGGACATCTGAAGAAAGCTGCAGGGAGGGAGCAAAGCTGGCCCCAGAGAGAGGCCATAAGGGCCATGTTCACTAGCAGTGCAGTGGGATGGGGCTGTCCGAGCTGTTTACAGCCTGCATCTCCGATGGGTCCCGGACATAGAGCTACAGGATTTAATGTTTACCCCACTGGGTTTTGGTCTTGCTCTGATTTCTTTATCCCTTTTGGAATGGGAATGTTTACCTGAAGCCTGTGTGTGTTGGAGGTGTTTAACTTTCTTTTAATTTTTACAGGGGTTCACAGCTACGAGTTTGCTTTAAATCGAAGAGGAGACTTTAGACTTGGACTTTTCAGCCATGCTGGAACTGTTAGGACTTCGGCAACTCTTAGAGCTGGACTAAACGCTTTTTCGTAAAGGGATGGGCATGAGTCTGGGGGGTCAGGGGTGGAGTGTTATGATTTATACCTGGATGTTCCCCAAACCCTCATGTGCTTACAGAAGATGATTTCATATTTCTACTTCTGGTTTCCCTTTAATAAACCAGTATCAAAATACTTTAATTCAAAAATATTTTCCTTAAAGTTATTCATCACATCCATATTAAGGCAAGGATTATTTGCTTGCCTTGCTGAGGAATATATAATGGCTAAAATATGGATTTCCATCCTCTGAAGTAGGTAGAACTATGCTGGAGCAGTTTGAAAGTTCTCTTTCTTATTAAATCATATTGTTGCTTTTGTAGGAAAAGCTCAAACAGTTACTAAATATCTGCCATATGCTTTGAAACTAATTTTGCAATGTTTGCTAACTTCTGGAAATGAACTTCTGTGCTGACATACTTATTCAGTCTTGAAACAGATGGGGGAGTCTGAGGGAAGAAATAAAAGATTTTAAAGAATCTTCCTGCTCTATTAAAGGTTCAAAAGCTAGCCCTGTTAGTATTGAATTCTGACCATGTGATGGTTCACATAGTTATATGGAGACCATTTTCAACATCCTGTTCAGGACAAAATTCACACTTCCCTGGAAAGAATTCCTTATGCTGTAAATATTGTGCCTTATTTTATATTTTAATACTTTAATAAAGGCTTCTGTTTTGTGATAACTTTTCTCAGCAAATTTTGAGAAAGCCCAGAGTGACTTCGTAAGTTAAAAGCCTATCACCTGTACCTCTCGCATCCCCAACAGAAAATCTTAAACACTGTTGTTGTTTTTTTAAATTTCACTCTTTTTAGTTTAAAGATGCAGGTAGAGTTAAAACCTTGTTTCCTTTTCTTTACTGTGGGCCAGGTATATTCCTGGCTCCACCAAGGGTCATGCATATGTAACTTATGAAATCCCAATATTGTGAAACATTTTTATTGATATTTCACATAACATGGTCTACAAATCTTAGGTATAGGCTGATGCATTTTACAGATACTTGAATCCATGTAGCTACTGCCTGGATCAAAATTAAAGATTTTTAATTTTATTTTTTCTGGAAATAGGGTTGACCTTTCCAGACTCATTAGAAACTATTCCTTCTTAAGGGCCAGGGATTTAGCTCAGTGGTTCCACTGCCTGCCTTGAAAGCGCAAGGACCCGAGTTCCATCCCTGGTACCAAAAAAAAAGAAGAACTCAAGTGTCTTCTTTGAGCTAGAAACTATTCCTTCTTATAGTTTATTTATAGACTGATTTGTGGATTTTCTATAAAATGTGACATTTGTGAACCATGACAAGTTTCCTTCCAGTCTTTATACCTTTTGTTTCTTTGTCTTGTATTTTAGCATTAGACAGGACCTGGGGATAAGAGTGAATGAAAGCAATGCACACGAGCACATTTGCTGGCTCCCACTGCGAAGGAAGGCTTTCAGTGTGTCATCATTACACGTCATATTAGCTGTAGGCCTTTTATAGCTATCTGTTATTAGATTAAGGAGGTCCCTTCTACTTTTGGTTTGCTGTGAGAGAATTTTCTCCATGTTGATACACAAATTTAATATAATTCCTGTTGAAATTCTAGCAAGATATTTCATAGGTAAAGATAAAATTATTCTAAAATTATATGGAAAGGAACAGCAACTAAAATAGCTAAAATCATTCTGAAAGAGAAGAAAATGAGAGGAATCAGTCTACCTCATTCCAAGGCTTACTGTTCAGCTGTGTGATCAGTATTGTTTGGCACTGGTGGAAGGACAGGCACATAGATCAGTGAATAGAATGGGGATCTCAGACATAGTTTTGCACTTCTGTTCCCAAATCTTTTTCTTTTCTTCAGTACTGGGGATCAAACCCAAGGCCTCACACATGCTAAGCAAGGGCTCCACCAATGAGCTACACCCTCAACATCCAAATCATTTTTGATAAAGTTGCAAAAGCAATTCAATGCAGGAAAGATAGCTGCTTGTGCAAATGGCTCCAGGAACAAGTTGATATCTACAGGTCAAACAATGAACCTCGGACTAAGTCTCATATTTATACAAAAATTAGTTCATTAGGTATCATGAATAGAAAACAAATCTATAAAACTTTTTTTTAAACAATAGGAGAAGGGCCAGGGATTTAGCTCAGTGGTTCTGCCACCTGCCTTGCAAGCACAAGGACTCAAGTTCCATCCCTGGTACCAAAAAAAAAAAAAAAAGAGAAAATCTTCAAAACCCAGGGCTAGGCAAAGAATTCTAAGATTTGATGCCGAGAGTATAATCTCTGAAAAAAAGAAAACCAAATTAATAACTTGGACATCATCCAAATTAAAAACTTTGACTTTGCAAATGACTATGTTAGGATTAAAAGATAATTACAGGCCTGGGAGAAAATATTTGCAAACCCCATACCCGACAAAGAATTAATATGCATGATAAATGAAGAATTCTCAAAAGTCAACAGTACAAAAAGAACTCAGCTAGAAAGTGGACAAAAGACTGCAAAGGCATCTCTCCAGGGAAGAGGTGCTTCCTCGAGGCCTGGGCAGGGCAGAAACTAAACTCCCCTTGTTACTGGCTCAACTCTGACATTCAATGTGGCAGATACATAACCTTTTCCTGTGGTATTTGGTAGCAGTAGAGTGGTTATTTTCTAAACATTTTCTGCTGGAATAGGTTGCTTCTTTCCAGATTCTTTGATTAGAGAGGCCAGCCTGTGGTTGGGGTTCTTTTCCTTCTGCACCTGTTGTCAATTCCAGGTTGCCAGCTTCTCCACACCCAGTCTGGACCACACACAAGAATGCATCACTGTTTTGCTTCAGATTTTTCTTTTCTCCTGAGGCTTTCTTCTGAAAGGGAGACAGGCTTCCTTTCAGTGTGTCCACAATATATATTCCAGTGTTTTCAGTTCTTAGAGAGAGGGAGAGGGAAAGATAAGTCTATGCCTTCTGATATAGGGGGAAGAGATGTAACTACCAAACCTACTAGATACCCGAAATGAGAGTTTGTGTTCTCTAAAATGAAAGAATGACTTCTAGGAACAATGGAATTTAAGACTAGGAAAAATTTATTGAGAGAAAGAAAGCTTCTGCCTAAGAGAGGCAGAGGGGGACCAGAAAGTGGGTTGCCCACCCACCCCACTTTTCAAAGCTGTTTTATACAGCAAAGCCATGTGGTGACGTGGGTGCAAAGTGGGGCGAAACTATAAGACCCAGTGGAAATTTACAGGGTGGGCATGAGGTGGGACAAAACCATGACCAACCAATAAGATTACAAGTACTGTCACCCAGGTGATATTGATTAAATGGGGGTCAGTGGGGGAGCAAGTCACTTGGCAGGTGTACAAGGATTTTCAGTAAGGGTGAGTCAGGGATATTTCCTGGAGAGCCTGGGTTAAGACCCTGGCCCCTCATCCAGGTGATTGATACCTGTTTAGAATATCAATCACTGCTGTTCATCCTACGTGGGTGTGGTAGCTTCTCTCCTTTTACAGTGCTGGCCTTCAGTGAAGGTGTCTTCACTCCTCCATGTTGGCTTCTGGAGGGCCGGCCCTGTCTAACTCCCTACCAGGTATCTAATTAACTTTCCTATCAGCAATATTCCCCCCTCTGAAGAAGTACCCCTAACTGCTGTGAGGGGGCACAGGGCGAAGACCAGTCTGGCTACTTCCGGCTGAAGAGGGTCATAGTTGTGATCAGCAGTCAGAGTTACTCTACAGAGGGTCTATCTAAAGGCCCTGGATAGGCGCCAGGCATTGTCATCTTGGTAGCCGTATAGCTTTGAGTCTGGAGGAGACAAAGCCAGTTAAGAATACATGGGCCAAATTATAAGATCATCAAGATTGCTATGAATATAGCAAACAAGGGTTTCCACTGGGAGGAACTAGTAATACCCTCCCACAAGGAGGATAAGGAGAAGGTCCAGGGGACTTCAGAATCCAACATAGAAGTCCTATTGTATAGTTTAGCAGTTATGAGCTGTTTACAAGGTTGATCTGGTGAATCCCAGTAAAAGAAGTCTAGCACAATTGTCATTGGTTCCATTTGTATGACTGCTTGGAGTTGGTAGCCTCTAGGCAAGAATGAACAAAACTTTTAAGAAATTAGAGCAAAGCGCAAGGACCTGAGTTCAATCCCCGGTACCAAAACAAAGAAATTAGAGCATGTATAATCTGAGCATGAGCACACTAGAATGAGAGGGTAGGTTGGGGAGAAGTCACACTTAGATACTGGAATAGTGATTGTAACCTGTTAGCTCTTAGACTGTTATTGATGGAGGTTATCTATAAGTCTGATACTTTGTCTTAAGTCTCTCTAGTTTTAGCTGAAAGAAGGTAAGAGATAATTTGATAAACAAATTTCTCTAAGAAATATAAAACTCTACCTGAGCTCTTATAGATTCTACCATAATTTTTCCTAATGATCTATAACCATGGTCAGCTAGGGTAGAGCCGGAAACTGCCAGAAGGAGTCAGCAACTCGAGCCCCTTTTCATTTCTAGCCTCATTACTATGGCAATATTTTATACTACTTTTGGTTATTCTTTTCTGCTGGGTGTCTAAGACCAAGTTAAAGTCAGACCTGTGTCAATCAGTATGAACCTCTTGCTATCTATCAAGGTCAGTTAAGTCTCCTCAGGCATTATTTTGGAACCATGCATAGAGCTTCTCAGCTCCTCTGTCAGGGTCAGCCATCAGGATGGGACATGGCCTTGCTTGACCATGTTGCTTTCAGTGAAAGTGTGGGAGACTTTTCCCTCTTGGTGACCTTCCTTTGGCACATGGTACATTTGTCCTCTGGTGTCCAGCAATCTCCTTGCTCAGGAGGTTGTGTGACTTACCAAAGATGTAGGATCCTGTAGGAAAGGTTCCTTTGTGTCCCGGATCTTTGTTGACCGTGAAAGACCAGGGCCAAAATACTGGCTGTCCTCTTAGCCCAGTCACCTTTCTAGTTTTGGTCTCCAAACTTTAGTTGTTGAACACCCAGAAGAGAAGATCAGTGACATTAGTAGTGCAGTAGGAGCAGTGAGCTTAACTATTATAATTTTGTCTGGATATTAAGGACTTTTGAAATATAAAGCACAGTTAGAAAGGCTGTTATTTCTTATCAACCATGCTTGTTCTAGTAGTTGAATCCCTGCAGAATGTTAACAGAGAACAGTTATACATTATATACAGAAACTTAAGATCAAGAGCCACACAGAGTATTTTAGCACGACAAACATGATGACATTATCTTTGTAACACTTACATGTCCATCTCTGTATGGAATAGTGTTAGTCAAACACCTCCATCTGATCACAAGACATTAAATGACATAAAGAAAGTTCTTATTTCTTATTTGTTATCCTTTAACAGGATGCCAACCAAAGAGAACATACATATTCGCCTATAAATGTTCCTTAGAAGTTCATAATGTCTAGCCTCTAATTTCATTCTTTTTTTAGGGGGAGGTACCAGGGATCGAACTTGGGTCCTTGTGCTTGTGCAGCAGGTGGCAAAACCACTGAGCTAAATCCCCGGCCCCTGGAGCCTCTAATTTTAGTGTGTGACATTGTTTTGACTCTTTGGCGACTGAGCATCCCTAAGTGTAGTGACACATATAACACACATCACATAAGTTTTAAGAAAACTATTGTTTGACTGGTTGTCTCATGCTGGCTTGACATGTGCCTCTCATCACAAGTAGCTGGAGCACAAGAGAAAGGAAGATACCTGAGTCAAAAAAGATCACTGCCACACACAATATCCTAGGAGATTTGTACACTCAGAAGGCACGAATGGGTACACCATGAAATAACAATGAAACCCTTTGTCTCCTAATTTTGTTTTGTACCAAGAGCATTTTTAAAAAAACCTTATTGTTTTCCCACAGAAAACTTAGCCATTTGACTATGACCAATGTATTCATATCACAATAATAATATGTTTAGCAATGTATTTCCCACAAGGGTATAGAAATTATCAGGGTCCCCTTTGTACTTTTTTTTTTTGTAAGGGGATCAAACTCAGGACCTTGCACTTGCAAGGCAGGTGGTGGCCCACTGAGCTAACTCCCCAGGCCATGAGGTCCCCTTTGTGAACAAAGGCTGGAATAAATTTTTTCCAGGTAGATATTCCTTTATTTACCAAGGAGAGTCCTGTCCAGTAGGTTTCCTAAGGCCAAGAGTCTTTTTTATTATCTTAACAAATTTTTAGATGACCTATGTGAGCCAGATCATAACAATTAACACATTTTTTTGATCGATGAAAGATTCCTGAGATATTATATATAGACAACAATATATACTGTATTTGTAAAACCAGTTGACATTATTTGGATCATCTGGCAACCTAGGGGAAGCATGTCTTTAATGACATTTATCTACAAGCCAACCTGGGTTACAGGTTGCCATCTTAAACAATCCAAAATGCCAAAAGAAAAATGTTCAAACACAACTGTAGCATGTAAAAACACAAATGCTAGTTACTGATTGCTATTTTCCCCAGTGTAAGACAAAACAATTGTTGTAAATTGCCTTAGTCTGACCTCCTGAAAGAAGGAGTGGTCTGACTACAAGGGATTCTCAAATGAACTCCCAACAAGTTGGAGGAAAGTATAAGGGGAGTTTTGAACTCACTAGCAGAGAGAAAAAGTTCAAATAAAGCTCAAGCTGGTTAAACATCCAAAAAATCATCATATAGCATTTAAAAGCCTGCAGTCAGTGTTCCAAAGTACACAACCTATCAGCAAAGGTATTTTTCTCTCCTACACACATAAATGATGAAGACCATGCCTTGGGGGGAGAAAAGGTTCAGGTAGTTTTTAATCTATCAAACATTCAGGTTTTTTTTTTAAACATTTGTCTAGAGGTTTTATTAGTAGTAGAGAAACAGTCCAAACCTGTAGCTCAACTCTTACTGGAGGCTTAAGAAAGGGCTCTCATGGTATCATTTCAGAGTACTCTGAGACAGAGGATATCTGATGATCACTGACAGAGTTCCCCTTTCACCTCACTGAGGAGTCCAGATAGGGACAAGATGTGGAGATTTTCTGCTGATTACCCGGACAGGCTGTTAGGGAGCTAGTTTCTTCTGAGGGACCTTTGGGTATCCACCAGAGAGTAGCCCTGGCCATGACCCCTCTGTTGTCACCTCAGTTTCTGCTAGTTCCATGCAGAGATCTGCCTCTAAAAGGAACCCAATTGCCTATCTGGTCAATGTTCCACCCACCATTGGTGTCAATGGGAGTGGGGATTCACCAGAGGGCAACTGGAGAAAGCTGTCCTCTGCTTTGAGAGTGGCAGCTGCCCTAAAGGCAATTACTAGCTGGCAGAGTGACCACTGTTTGGCATTCTATAAGGGACAGATAAAAGCCTGAACTGTCTTAATCTGAGATGATTTCATAAGAGTCCAATTTTACAACATTTTTAAGCAACTAAATCCAAATGCAACATATGCAAAACAAGAGTAAAATTAATTTTAACAAAGGACAATGCTTTCATCATGTCCTATAGATTCCCATATGTTGTACTGTCATTGTCATTTAATTGTAGGAACTGTCTGATTTCTTCTTTAATTTCCTCTGTGACCCATTGGTTATTCAGAAGTGTGTTGTTCAATTTCCAAGTGTTTATGAAATTCTTTCGGTTTCTTTTGCTATTGATCTCCAATTTCATCACACTGTGGTCTGATAATATACAGGGGATAACTTCGATTCCTTTGCACTTACTTAAACATGTTTTAGGAGTGAGTATGTGGTCTATTTTGGAGAACAACCTCTGTGCAGCTGAGAAGAATGTGTATTCTGATTTTTTGGGGTAGAACACTCTGTAAACATCTGTTAAATTCGTTTGTTCAAGAGTTTGATTGAGATCTAGTATTTCATTGTTTATTTTTTGTCTAGTTGATCTATCTATTTGTGACGGTATGGTAATGAGGTCCACCACTACTATTGTATTAGTGCTTATATGATTTTTCATGTTCATTAGTATTTGTTTTATATAGTTGAGCACACTAGTGTTTGGTGTGTATATATTTATGATTGTCAGCTCTTCCTCTTGGATCTTTCCCTTTACAAGGATGTAGTGTCCTTCTTTGTCTCTCTTAAGCAGTGTTGGTTTGAAATCCACTTGATCTGCAAAGAGGATAGCTACTGCTGCTTTTTTTCAGGTTTCTGTGACATGGAGTATTGTTTTCCACCCTTTAACTTTCACTCTATGAGTTTCTTTTTGAATTAAGTGTTTCTTATATGCAGCATATTGTTGGATCTTGCTTCTTGACCCATTCTGCCAGTCTATTTCTTTTGATTAGTAAATTGAGATGATTAATATTGATGGTTATAACTGATATGTATTGACTTATCATTGTCATGACTTTTTCTTTTCATTGGATTGTCCCCTTTGCATTTAATTTCTTGTTGTGCCTAATGGATTCATTCTGCTGTGCTTCCTGGGGTTGTGATCCTCGTTGTCTTTTCCTAGGATATTGTCTAAAATTTTTTGG